GGGGGGGTAGGTCAGTGACAAAATGCTTCTAGGTTCAATCCCCATATCAAAATAAATAAATTAATCACTAATAATAGTAATAAAAAGGAAACAAATGGTGCATGCCTATAATCCCAGTGACTCTGCAGGCTGAAGCAGGAGGATTGAAAGTTTGAGGTGAGCCTCAGCAACTTTGCAAGACCCTATCTCAAAATAAAATTTAAAAAGGGCTGGGAGTGTAGCCCAGAACATCCCTGGGTTTAATCTTCAATATGCAAAACAAAACAGAAACAAATTTTAAGTTCCTTGAGGGCAGTTTCTTTTGTGTATAGTAGCATTTAGTAAATTTGGTCTAAGAAGAAAGCTTCAGGGGCTAGATGTGTAGGTTGGTGGTAGAGTACTTGCCAAGCATGCATGAGACCCTGAGTTCAACTGCTAGCACCCCAAGAAAGGCTGAAGCTTAGGGCTGGGGCGGAGTTCAGTGACATAGCATGCTTAGCATGCTTGAGGCCTGTATTCCATTCCTAGCACCAGAAAAATAAATAAACCCTGGAGCAGGTTCATTTCCTGATGAAACATAGAAGTCTTGATATGTGATTTGATCTATTCCCTGGCCAACCCAGCAATGCAGGTGGGGACCTCATAACTAAGACAGCTCTGGACTTTTGGAGGGCAGGAAGAAAGAGGGAAGATATCCAGCTGAAGGACCTGGAACCTGTGCTGTCTGTCGGAGTCTTCAACAATAAACACAGTGAGTCCCCAGGGCGAGGAGCCAGCAGGTGCTGTCTGTTCTGCTGATTCTTTACAGAGCCCCAGAGCCTACTTGCTAGGGGCTCTGCTGCTGAGGGGTTCCCTAGGGCCTTAGCAGGGGTTGCACACCTGACAGACTTGCCAGGAGTGAAGACGTGAAGAACATGCTGCAGGCTGAGATCAGGTGTGGAGTTCGACCAGGTGGCAGTGACAGGCAGGAGACAGCTCTGTGTTGTTCTGCAGGTGGTCTGTGGCGCAGTGGGCTGATAGACAGAAACCTCATCGACTACTTCGTCCCCTTCCTGCCCTTGGAGTACAAACACGTGAAGATGTGTGTGCGGGCAGAGATGCGGGCCCGTGGTGCTGCTGTAGATGAAGACATTGTCACCAGGGTGGCAGAGGAAATGACGTTTTTCCCCAAAGATGAGAAAATCTATTCAGACAAGGGCTGCAAGACCGTTCAGTCCCGGCTAGATTTCCACTGAGCGCTTACCCACACCTGGACCTTGTCCTTCAGAAGCACTTTGAAGACCTCTTCAGGGTTCTGCATATTTGCACCTGTGAACTTGGGATTTAGAAGTTTCTAAGAGTTAACTATTGAAAAGACACTAATCTGTCCTGCGTGCAACATAATGGCAGTTCAGCTGTTCCTTGCAATTGAATGTGAGCTTTTAGAATCCTTATATGCACAGTTATTAACCTTCATGGAAGTGCCTACAAACAGCTGTGCGTGAGGTGGAGGGTCATTGGTGGGTGACCCATGGCCCGGCCTCTCAAGCCAGTACTTTGACCAAGGACCCCAGGGACCCTGCTACAGTTGGGAGCATCAGGTTTTCACATGCCAAAGTCATCTTGCTCTGCTTTTTCTTTGTACAAAGCGCATTCACTGGCTGGTAGTATTTTTAGTTAACATCAGTGGCCCTGCAGGTTCAGATGGTGTTGGCGAGGAGGATATGGCCCTGCACACCGGCTACTCTTGCCCAGGGCTGGACTGTCATCCTAAGAGTGAAGGTGCACCCAGGCTCTGTAAGCAGACCAGGATCCAGAGTCCCTTGGGTCTGGCCCTGGCCTTGGAATTCCCACTGTCAGCTTGGTGAGCCTGCCAGCTCCTTATACCATGTCCTCCAGACACGCCACTACCATCATGCTACATTTGCCTGTTAACACTTCACATGTGAGTCATGTGCAGCTCAGCAGGACCGGTGGGTGCTCTGGGCTGTGCGGGCCTGCAGAGCCTGATTGTGGAGGGAGCAAAATGCTTAAGCACCTCCTTAAACATAAGTGTATTTTGCCGGGCTCCATGGTGCACGCCTATAATCCCAGGGGTTTGCGAGGCTGAGGCTGGAGGATCACGAGTTCAAAACCAGCCTTGGCAATGGTGAGGCGCTAAGCAATTCAGTGAGACCCGGTCTTATTTAAACACACAAAAAATTTTTTTATTTAAACACAAAATAGGGCTGGGTATGTGGCTCAGTGGTTGAGTGCCCCTGAGTTCAATCCCTGTACCCACCCCAGAAAAAGATTGGTGTATTTTTAAAACCTGGGAACGACATAAAATGGAATAATTGCTTATTCTCAGGTACTTTTAAATAGTATGGGGTTTTTTATTTTTTGTGCTAGGGAAGTAGTATGAGTTTTTATTGTTAAGTTCAAGGTACGATATGGTCACAATTGAAGATCAAAGAAGGTCATCTGAGTGGTGGCTGGTCTGGGTGTCATCTGATGCTGACCCCTGCATGGCAGTGCCAGGCTGGATGGCCCTGATCACTGGAAAATAGAGTCAGATTCCAGCCAGCAGGATCCTTCTGCCTGACCCACAGCTGTGATATAACTAGACACGTGATTGAGGCACTGGGTAACATTTTTATATGTGTGAAATGTGCAAGAATGAAAAGTCTGCAATGTGGAAATGCCTGCTGGGGTTGTGGCTCAGCAATAGAGTGCCCTCGCCTAGCACGTGGGAAGTGCTGGTTTCAATCCTCAGCACCACATAAGAGATAAAATGACAACTAAAAAAATATCTAAAAACACCCCCAAACACCTCTGTGGGCTGGGGACGTGGCTTGGGTAGAGTGCTGGCCTCTCATGCATGAGGCCCTGAGTTCTCTTCCTCAGCACCACCCAATAAATGAAGATGCCAAGGTGAGGCTGCTGAGTTTCAGGACGTGTTCTTACATTGGAGCTAAGTTACCTTTCTTTTATAACCTTTTGGGCCTGTGGTCTGGAGGAGACAAGGTTTCCTGTTTACAGTGATGCAATAAATTCCACACATGTGGGCCACCTTTGGACTGTGGTTGCTGATTTGGAAAAGCCCAGCCTCTCATGAGATATGGACAAGAACTTGAATTGACTAGTGAATAGAAAATAATAAAAACTAAATACTATGTTGTGAGATGTCACTTTTTCTTCTTACCCCTATTTTATGTGGAGGCAAAGTCAGCGCAGAATAAAGGTTTTCAACATCTCGGGTTAGACACACTTACCCCAGGTGTGGGGGGTTGGCAGCCTGCATCTCACAGCCAAGATTTGTCTCAAAGGTGGCTATCCCCAGAGTTAGCTCCCTGGGACCCAGGTGGGCTTCACTCTAGAAAATACATCCTCCTGAGGCCGACGCAGGAAGGAAAAGTTGAAGCCCCAGGACCCTAACTCGGGTGAGGAAACTCCTCTGCTGGCTCTTCCCACCCAAAACTAGGACACAACGAGAACCTGGTTGTCACTCAGATCTTACCTTAACCACACTTATCCTGGCAGTCATCTTGTCACTGAGGTCATAACATGGACTTCACAGGACTGGAAAGTTTCTAGAAAGTTCACACCCCTCTTTTAAAAAAAAAAAAAAAGGGGAGAGGCTGGGGATGTGGCTCAAGCGGTAGTGCACTTGCCTGGCATGCGTGTGGCCCGGGTTCGATCCTCAGCACCACATACAAACAAAGATGTTGTGTCTGCCGAAAACTAAAAAATAAATATTAAAAAAATTTCTCAAAAAAAAATTATTAGAAGGTGAGAGAATTTTTAATATTTTTTGTTTTTGGCGGACACATCATCTTTGTATGTGGTGCTGAGGATTGAACCCGGGCCGCACGCATGCCAGGCGAGCGTGCTACCGCTTAAGCCACATCCCCAGCCCTCACACCCCTCTTCATGGCCCTGCCCCCTCCCTCCATTTCTCAGTTGAAGGTGCTCAACTGGCAGGAGACTTATTTCCTTGGTCTGGCCTAAGGCAGTCTCTGTTCAACCCCAAACTGCTTCATCTACTGAGGCTGAACTTTGCAAAATGATGTCAGAGGACTTCTTTTTCCTATCTATAGCCTTACAGGTGCCAGGGCTGCCATCTTCAGAGAGATGATCAGAGCTCATCTGTGACTGCTAGGGACACTTGAACCATGTTAGGGAGACCGGGCACTCTAGAAACAGGCGAGGTAGCCGTAAGGCAGGGGCTCCCACAGCAGCCAGACCAGCATCGTCTTTATGCCGGGAACTGAACACAGGGCTTGAACATGAGCATGGCTCTGCCGTTGAGCATCTCGGCCCCTCCAGCCATCTTCTAAGCCTGCTGGACCCTTCCTGGGGAGCCCTGCCCCTCTGTAGGCATGTGAGCTGCGCTGCACAATATGGCTTGTCTCCTGGAGCCCTGCGCTCTTGCCTGACACCTTAGCTGGACTGGAGCACCATGGCTGGGTGCCAGGAGCTCTGTGAGTCCTACCCTTGAAGTGCACTGCCTTGGCAGCTTGGTGAAGGTCAGACTGCACTTCCTTCCCACCAGAACTGCCTTGCTACGTCTTTACTCAGCCTACACGCACAGGCCTCTGGTGAAGGGTTTTCCTTTATAAACCATACTCAAAAGGCTGTGGGTGTGGCTCAGTAGTGAGCACATGTGAGCTCCAGTCTCCAGCACATTCGCATGTATCCGCAAATTATGCGAGGCTGGGACATGGCACAGTCAGAGAACCCTCGCCTCGGACATGTGAGGCACTGCGCTCCGTCCCCAGCACCACCCAGAGAAAAAGAAACCAAAAGTTCAAAATTCTGTTGTAAAATGGTAGCATTTATAGATAACAGTATTCTTGGCCTTCTCAGAGGGGCAGCTAAGCTCTCCTAGATGTGGGGAGTTCTCATTCAACATAACAAAACTAGTGACCATGAGGGAGTTCTTAAAAAGAATATGGCAAAATCCATCACAACTGAAGAACCCGCAGAGGAAGCGCGGCTCGTTTGGAGACGTAGCGGGGCTGGCAAGTGGGGAGCTGGAGGGTCCTTTTCTTCCCTTTTTTGGGGTGGGGTGGATTGTCATGGGCGCTTTGCCACACTGAGCTGCATCCCAGCTCTCCTCCCGTGGCGGGTCTCACTACTGTCCTCACTAAGTCTCCTCTGGCCTCACTCTCCTGCTGAGGCTGGCCTCAGACTTCTGATCCTCCCTCTTCAACCTGGGATGGCGGGCAGGTGTGCCAGGCTCTGGATGTTTCTTTCAAAAGATTCAAGTTCTGACGCGTGCACACAGTATGACCAAGCTCGTCCCCATAGCGCCCACTGTCCCCACTGCTCCCAGCTGAAAGCCCCAGGAGGACGTCGGGCTTACCACGGACCGGCCTGGGTCCTCTGCTGTACTCCTCCTTCTGTCTGCACACTTCCTGGCCCTGGTGGGGCTGGTTCTGGTCATCCCGGGATAGCGCTGGTGTCCCCTGTACTGCCATCCCACAGAACAGATGCCAAGGACCATGCTCAGCCTTAATGCGGTAGACATGACGGTTTGTAATGATGAGGATTTGAAAAAAATCACACAAAGCCAAAAACTTAGAATCTGAAAAAAGTTTCTCATAATGTTAAAAACCATCTTAAATAAAGTTATCACATTTTCAGTAAAACTTATTTATCGTTCCTTGAAACAGAAATAAGTGAAATTAAAACATAATTTTTAAAAAATCACGAGCCCCAGAGTGGGTGGGCTGGGAGCTGCAGTTTTCTCCTCTGAAGGCCCCAGACACCTCCTGTCCATATCCGGGTTCTGAAGGTAGGGCACTGTGGCCTTCCAGGGAGGGAATAGGCCCAGAATTCCTGCTGCACTCCTGGAAATATCCATTTGATTCCTCTTCCCTGGAAAGGAGCAGGGGCAGACTGAGTGTTGAGTTCCTCTCAAAGCCTGGTGTGGGCCGTCAGTCATCAAGGTAATAGTCCAGCTTGGTGTGCACCGTCTTGCAGCCCTTGTCAGAGAAAACGCGTTCCTCCTTGGGGAAAAAGGTCATCTCTTCAGCCACTCTGCTGATGATGTCCTCGTCAACCTCATAGCCACGGGCCTGCATCTCGACCCTGATGCACATCTTCAGGTGTTTGTATTCCAAGGGCAGGAAGGGGACAAAATAATCAATGAGGTTTCGGTCAATCAGACTGCTGTGCCAGAAACCACCTGGGAAACAGGAAAAGATGCTGTTTGCCACCAGCCACCTGCCAGTCCGTCCACCCAGCACACACCCACAAGCTGTGACTCTTCTACGACAGCAGGGGCAGGGTGACGATGCAGAGCACCTCTGCCTGGCAACACAAGGTCAGTGTCCCAGGAACCCTGGGACCAGCAGAGGTGGTGCAGGAGCGGGTGAGTCCTGAAAACCTGGACTCTGCTGGAACTTTGGCATCTGGACTAGCAGAGGGCAGAAACTCACTGCTGCTGCAGTGCAGCCCAAGTGTGCAGAGCATCCCAGAGCCAAAAGCCGGACCCCCTCAAACACCCAAGTGCGAATGTGACACTGCACACCCAGGGACATGGCTCTGCCAGGCATTCTCCCAGAGGGTCTCCCTAGCCCTGCCTAGCCCTCCCGGGTCCTGGGACCTTTTATTTATTTTTTGGTAGCAGGGATTGAACCCAGGGGTGCTTAACCACTGAGCCACATCCCAGTCCTTTTTATTTTAAGACAGGGTCTTTCTAAGTTGCTTAGGGTCTAAATTGTTGAGGCTGGCCTCCAACTTGCAATCCTCCTGCCTCAACCTCCTGAGTCCCTGGGATTACAGGTGCACACGACCATACCTGGCTTCGTGGGACTCTTGATCCAGGGGGTACTCCCTCCCACACCACACAGCACCCACTGCTCACCACTCCCACGATCCTCCACACCCTGCTGCTTGGCTGGTTATTCCTTGTGACTCTGCCCCTAATGCCAACTCCACCAAGACTGAAGTGTAAGCTTTCCATTCCCAATAGTGCCTCGCACACCACTGGTTCTCAGTAGACCCGCCCGGCTGGCTGGGAAGGAGAATGTGGCCACAGAAATTAACCACACTAACAAGTGGAATGGCTCACCCAGCAGGTGTGTGCTGGGTCCTGGGAACAGCAGAGCCAGCCAGCCAGCCAGAGACACTGCTGGCACAGGGCTTTCCACCAGGGGTGAGGAGACACTCGACCAACCAGGAGAGACACACTTTCCCACAGGGCCAATCCCTAGGCACTATGAAGTGAACCAGGCAGCTGGGGTGGTTGGGCAGGGCCCAGAGAAAAAGGGGACCTCTGAGCACAGCAATGATGACAAGGACCTGGCCACACAGGCCCAGAAGGTGTCCAGCAGAACCAGTGATTTAAAAACCACCTACTGGGCCAGGTGCAGTGGTGCACACCTGTAATCCTAGCCCCTCAGGAGGCTGAGGCAGGAGGATTGCAAGTTTGAGGTCAGTTTGGGCAATTTAGAGAGACCTGTCACAAAATATCAAAAGGGCTGGGGTTGCAGCAAGTGGTGGAGCCCTTGTTTAGCATGAGCAAGGCCCTGGGTTCCAGCCCCAGCAGCAGCACCCGACAATAATAAAACGTCTATGGGCCGGGGCTGTTCAACCCCCAGCTCCAGAGGAACAAAGGACACGTACTGCTGACTCCCAGAACTATCTTCCCAACTAGATAGCTCCCCTGGAGTGTCCCTAGGACGGGCCACGTCTGTTCCACATCCCTGCTAGGACATCAACAAGTCAGGACACACTGATCATGTGGTCCCCATAAGCCTGCTCCTCCTGCTCCACCCAGTGGCAGGACCCACCCTCCTTCTGCTCAAACCTCAGACTTCTCTCATGCCCACAAGCAATCCTGTGGGAAATCTGGCTTTTACCTTCAAACTGCACCCAGAATCTGACCGGGCCTTAGCACCTCCATGGCTACCACACCAGAGAATCTGTTGTCCACAGCAGCCAGGATCCCTTGAGAACCGGGGGCATGTCATCACCTGCCAAAACCCTCCGGGTCCTCTCCTCACTTGGGGTAAGTGGCCAGACCTCACTACTGTCCTTCCTGCCATGACCCCAGCCCCTGCCTACCTCAGAGACCTGTACCTGCAGACCCAAGGGAATATTGTCCCTTAGTTGTCCACATGGCTCAGTCCCACGGGTGAGCTCAAATGCTGCCTGAAACCTCTGGGCTCTCTAAGTATGGCTTGAACTTATCCTAGCAGCACAAACCATTTCTTATTTTTTTTTCCACAAGCGGAGGAGGATGTGGGTGTCTGTGTGTGCGTATTTACTGAGTGAGCACACGCGCATGCACACATCCTGCCATCTTTATCATCATCACAGCACAAGGTCCGAGGGCAAGAATGCCTGTCCACTTGCTGCGCAGTGAGCGTTCAGCTCCCTCCACAGTGGCCAAGCCAGGTCTGTCCAGTGGCCACGCTTGTCCTGCAGCCACTGTGCGGCCTGCCAGTGTGGTCTCAGCACTGCCTTGTCATGACCACCGGAGGTCACAGTTCCCGTGGTGCCTGCTCACGTCTTCCGGCATGAAAGAGACTTCTTAACATTCTACACAATATTTGTCTTTCCTCAGTAATATTACACTTAAAAGTTCACATAAAATGCCCCATGCTATTCCTGAAATTCCAGTATGAATTTCTTAGCAACCACGTTTCAAACAAGGCTTTCTGGGCCAGGCGTGGTGGCGCATGCCTATAATCCCAGCAACTTGGGAGGCCAAGGCAGAAGGATGGTGAGTTCAAAAGCCAGCGAGGCCCTAAGAAACTCAGTAAGACCCTGTCTCTAATAAAATACCCAAAAGGGTTTGGAGATTTGGCTCAGTGGTTAGGTGCCCCTAGGTTCAATTCCTGGTACCAAAAAACCCCAAAAAACTCAAGGCCAAGGCCCTCTGTTTTGTCTCTTCAAACCCGAGTAAAGATGTGACCAGGCAAAGGGCACTGCGAAGTCTTCAGCCAGTGAGTCAGCCCTGGCATGGCCTGATCCCCCCAGGGTTCAAGGTCAAAGGTCTGTGTGACACTGGCAGGACAGGTAGCTGAGCCAGAAGTCAAAAGCTCGGTTCTGGAAGCAAAGATACATAATGGGCTGTGCTTCACGGTCCTCATCTGCAAATAGGGAAAACAGCCACCTCCTCACCAAGGGGATTGTGAGACTACAGGCGATGTGCAGGTGGGAACGGGGCCTATGGCTGGACAGGGCGAGGGCCTGCCCTGGCACTGTGTTCTCAGACACAGGACCTGAGTTCTACTCGAGGCTGACAAAGGAAGAGGCCTCCTGGGGCCCCGTCCCCACCAGCCACCCACAGTGGTCTCCTCTTCTTTTCCACTATAGAGAAAATACTTAGCTGAAGAAAACTAATTTTCAAAATTTCAACAATTTCCCTCTTTGTTGAAAATGGTACTGCTCAAACTTTAGTGTTCATAAAAGTCACCTGGAGTTTGTCACCAGATTCCCCTTAGGAATTCTGACTTGGAAGGGAATGAGAAGTGGATTTCTACCCAGCTCCTGGGGATGGAGGCGCTCATGCTTCCTAACTTAATGGTGGGGATTCTGAAGGTTGGCGCAGACAGCCCACTTACTGTTCCTGTTGTTGAAGACAGACACAGACAAGGCGTGCTCCATGTCCTTGAGCTTGATTTCCTCCCTCTGCTTCCCTCTTCTCCAGAAATCCAAAGCCACATCTGTGATCCTCTCTGCTCCAGCATTGCTGTAAGACAGCTGCAGTGAGGGGGGACTGGGCTTCCCGACGCCCACGGGCGCGCGCCCAGCCCTTCAGCCATGTCCCTGCCGGGACCTCACCTGAGGAATATGAAGATGGCCTTCTGGTAGGAGACCTCATCCACCACATCGTAATAGTCCAGGAAAGGCTTGATGGCATCTATGAGGCCAGCGTGCATCTTGTCCATCTCATCAAAGATGAAGATGGACCTCGCACAGGCACTCACGTTGCCTCGGATCCACAGCTGTAACTGGTCCTGGATTGCAAGGGGAAAGCCAATTCAGAGCCCTCAGCAAGCACAACGGAAACAACCATTTCTTTGCAGTGCTACGAAAAGAACGTGTTAGGCCTGTGATCAACCACTGAGCCACACCCTAGCCCTGTGGGACAACTTCCACCACTGAGAACCATGGGTGCATTTTGGGAGGTCTGCACCAAGAACCTGACATGCACTTTCTTCCTCACGATCACTCCAGGGAGGGGGCACCATCATACCTGGCTTACAGATGAGGACGTGGAAGTAGAGGGAGCTTAACCCACATGCCCAAGATTATACAGTATGTAGCAGAGCAGGATCTGAACCCAGCCCTGCCTGACTCCAAACCCCTCACCCCAGTGATGACTCCTGCTGGGAGACTAGGCCAACAACGGCAGTGAGTTACACACGCTGTGTAGTGTACTCCAATCTTTCTGGAAGAGAGAACCTAAGTGACCTCTACCCTGACTCGGCAGCATGGCCAGCGCCAGTGCTCCAACTTATAGTCGGAAATGTGGTGATCCGGCTCCCTCAGGAGAGCAGCTGAACCCCAGGCCAGCACTTAGAGGACACCTGGTGAGGCAGCACATCGGAGTTTCTGGAACAGTTCCTGAAATAAATCCGCCTCACCATATACCCTGTGAACACATTTAGGTACTTATTTTTGTGTGTGCTGGGAATGGAACCCAGGCTAGGTTCTAGAGCATGCTAGGCAAGGGCTCTACCACAGAGCCACACCCCAGTTCAGGGTAAGGAACAAGACACCTTGAAGCTTTTTTATCAGAAAGTTAGACTATGATTCTATAAAATCCACAGATATTTTTTCCCCTCCAGGTGAGGTAGGAAAATGAGCTATTTATTTTCTAAGGAAGACTCTGGAAGTTACACTGTAGGTCTTATTATTATTCCGGGGTTATCCTTGGCTACTGTGACTGTGGTTACAATGTTCCTTGTGTGTATCTAATCTAAGCAGCAATCCTGCCCTGTAGGTCTGAACTAGCTTTCACTTACACAGGAACCTCTGGAGACCTGAAGTGGCTTGAGCTCACTGTGTCACTATTTACACAGGACTCCCTGCTCTGTTGGCCCCTATCAGCCAAGGTGTTCTCACTATGCTACCCCAATGTAGACAGTTGATCATAGGCCTAACATGCTCGGGGCCCTGGGTTCCTTTTGTAGCACTGCAAAAAAACATTGTAAGACACTATTCAAAGCACCATTTGCACAACATGTTACCGTTCCACCCAAAGCCATCAGGACAAACTACCACATTCTCTTTCAGACAGATAAGAAAATGCAGGGATGGAGAGGTCAACCTGCCCAAAGTCATTTGTTAAGATGGAGGTGCCTCAATCCTAACTATGACAACCAACTCATCCCAATTGGCCTAGAACTTGTCCAGTTTCAATGCTGGAAGTCCAGAATCTCAGGAGCCCTAGGCAGTTGTGTTCAGGTGGTGAGGGCTAAGTACCTGACTGTTCTGCCTACTTTGCAGGTCTGTCACATGGATCCTAAAAGGTAACAGCACTTATTTAAAGCTCAAGTGCCAGGCACCATGCTACATAACTGAAAGCTCACTGAATTCTCCCAAGCACCATTATGTAATGAAGACCCTGTTTCTCAGAGAGGTCAGGTGACTTTCTTAAGGCTACACAGCTGGTAGGAGGGAGTGTCAAGATTTGAGTCTAGGGCTGGGGATGTGCCTCAAGCGGTAGCACACTCGCCTGGCATGCATGCTGCCCAGGTTCAATCCTCAGCACCACATACAAACAAAAGATGTTGTGTCCGCTGATAACTAAAAAATAATAAATATTAAAATTCTCTCTCTTTAAAAAAAAAAGATTTGAGTCTAGGTGTCACTGCCAGAGCCTGGGTGGTTGGTTATTCAGTGAATTAAACTGTAAAATCACTTAGCAGCAGGGAAGTTCAAGCAAACTTAGGCCTCTCTAGACATGCTTCCCTTTGCACAAAATGAATGACATGTGACAACCTTCAAACTGGATTTAATCATTTCCATTTCTAAAAACTTATGTCTAGGGGCTGGGGATGTGGCTCAAGCGGTAGCGCGGGTGGCCTGGCATGTGTGCACCTGAGTTCAATCCTCAACACCACATACAAACAAAGATGTTGTGTCCGTCGAAAACTAAAAAATAAATATTAAAATTCTATCTCTTTCCCTCTCTCTTTAAAAAAAAAAAAAAAGAACAAAAAGTATAAGCCACTGGGACAGGTCATGATGATGGTCATGATAATGAGATATTAAATAAATAAATAAAAGCCTATGTCTATGCTTACTATCACTGGGCCTAGTTTCAGAAACCACCACAAAGCTTTGATGTGTAATGACCAAGAATTTCAACTCTCTCTAACTTCAAAGGGGAACTGACACGTGGTGCCGTGTTCAGGCTCACTTATTACAACAAGGAACCCCCACAGCTCATAGTAGAGACCCCACACCCAGCTTCATCCAGGAAGGATTCCAAATTTCTGCCCTTGCCTTATACAGGGTGATGTTCGAGGCGTGGGGGAAATGCAGCGTGGCCACAAACAGGTGGACATAGTCACTGTTCAGACCGCCCTCGTAAATATTCTCGGCGATGATCTTGCTGACAAAATTTTTCCCGGTGCCGGTCCACCCGTGCAAGGAGAGCGTGAGAGGTTTCTTGGGCCTCGGGTTGCTCAGGAAACCAGACACAGCGTTTAAAATCACTTTCTTTGCAAGATGCTGTCCAAAGAGTTTCTTATCCAGATCCTTCTGCAGTGCTGGGAAAAAGAAAGCCAGTCGGGGGAGGGCAGGAGAGGTGGCCCAGTCCGCCAGGGCAGGCCCGCGGGCTCCGCCGAGCACC